AATTTTGAATGATTGTAAGAATTAAATAAGATTATGGTACCTAAAAAGGACTTTAATTTTTTCAAATTTAAAATCCCAGGTATAATTATGCTAATTGGTTGAATTTTACATTTCTTTTTTTAACCATCCCTTTCTATTTTAAGTTTAACATTGAACAATTATGTCAAAGGGACACAGTTTTAACCAGTTTGATTTTTCTTTTCTATACTTTGGAGGTCAAGACATCTTTATGACAGAAGAACAGAAGAAATACTATAATGCGATGAAAAAATTAGGATCAAAAAAGCCACAAAAGCCAATACCTCGACCAGGAGTAAGAAATACCAAATAATATGGGAGAAAATATACAAAACCAAAAACTTGCGTGGGTTTTCTTACTGAAGAGAAAGTAACTAACATTTCCAGTAGCAAAAATTTCTTCCACTTTTAGAGTGTTATTTACCTTTTACAGTAATGAAAATTTTAAAAAGAACAAAAAGAAACAGAAAATGCACCGGTGTCTTCAAGGGATTTGGAACTAGATGACTAGAATCCAAACTAATTGGCCAAAGGATACAAAAGCAATATGACATGCACAAGAGAGAGTTGATCGTATGACTCAAGAATGGTTCCCAAGTAATATCAGGGAAAGGAATAGACCTTTAGATGGGGCTAAAATATATTCAGTTTTCTACTCAATTAATAAATTGATGAAGTGTTGAGTGAAATAACACCTTACTTCTATTTCATTTTTTACTAGAGGTACTGAGTGTTTGGAGGAGGAAAGATTTCCAGCATTTACTATTTATATATACGGCTATAAAGTTTGAAGTTACTAATGTCTATAGTAGTCAGGGTCAATAATTACAATTCATGATGATAAATGACAATTCTCATGATGAACTAAATTACCTTCTGTGAAAATGGGAAGGTATTATTCCATACTGTGATGATTTTTATGATAATGATCTGTGAGGTTAAAATAATTCCTAGAGTTCATCAAGGAACAAAGCACTAGTGAACATTCATATGCCCCCCAGTGCTGGCTAAATATTGCCCTTCAGTGAATGATAAGAAATATAGACTTTCCTGTGTTAAAACTTAGTACTGCAAATAGAAATGAACCAACTGTTCGTAGGAAAAATATAAGACAGAAATATCCTCAGAATTCCTCACTGGCCCAAAAAAATAATCCTGCAGATGGCCTGCAGTGACTGACAGTGGCAGAACTGGGGAACAGAATCACAGATCAGTGACAACGGACATGAATTTGTTGGTATCAAAACATAAGGAATGTCATCCTGGGCTGATTATCCTTGTGGAGTTTCAGCATTCTTTGTCTAACCATGTCAGCAAAGGCTATTTTTGTGGAAGAACACCAATAGTGCCAAACATTTAAATGCATAATGTTGTTCTCATTCATATGTGGGAGCTAAATATTAAAATAATTGATCTTATGGAGACAGGGGGTAGAATGATGGTTACCAGAGGCTGGGAAGGGTAGCAGGAAGGGAAGGATGAAGTGAGGATGGTTAACAGGTACAAAAATATAGTTAGAATGAACAATATTGGATAGCACAACAAACTGACTGTAATCCACAATAAGTTAGGGTATACTTTAAAATAACTAAAAGAGTGGAATCAGAATGTTCCTAACACAAAGAAATATTTTAATAATAAGTACCTGAGGCGATGGATAACCCAATTATCCTGATTTGATTAATTCACAATGTATGTCTGTATCAAAACATCACATGTACCCTATAAATATATATAACTATTATGTACTCATAATAAATAAAAAATTAAATAAATAAATGCATAATGTTAAAGGATGTGTCCTAGAAATCCCAAATTCCCTTAACAGTTATTGGAAAATAAAACAAATGATATGTTAACAGATACTATATTTTTAAATGGCTACATAGTCCAAATGATCATGAGAAAGCCTAGTCAAACAAAATCAAACAGGTTTCTTAACTTCTCATAATTTTAAAATGTTGATGTGTACTGTTTATCTATGAGAGAAGTATAATGTATGCAGTGTTTTTTAAATCAGAAACCCTCTTTGGACAAGGGATTGTTATGCCGAGAATACACATTGGTAAATAGCGATATAGATGCCTGAATTTTAAAAATTAATGTGCTATAAACCATTTTCACAAAAGTCAGGGCCAATGGCTACTATGTATGAAACTAGAAAGTCAATTAATGCAGGAAGTCCTTATGTAGGTGCTAATGTGCATGAGAAAACTCCGTTGTTGCTAAAAGCATTTCTGTTTCTTTGCAGAACAAATTTCAAGGAATGGTCTTCGATTTTGTAACCAGACAAGTTTTTGACATAAGCATCATGATTCTCATCTGTCTTAACATGGTCACAATGATGGTGGAAACAGATGACCAGAGTGAACACGTGACTAGCATTTTGTCACGCATCAATCTGGTGTTCATTGTGCTGTTCACCGGAGAGTGTGTGCTGAAGCTCATCTCCCTCCGCCATTATTATTTTACCATTGGCTGGAATATTTTTGATTTTGTGGTTGTCATTCTCTCCATTGTAGGTAAGAAATATTTAAAGTCTCTTAAATTCAGCTCAATAAACATGAAAAGTTGGAAGAATCAAGTTTAGATTAGAAGTCATGTCAGCATTCAGAGTAAACCACTGTGAATATTTTGATGCGTTTATCCAGGTGTGTTTGTTTTTCTTATAAAATGAAGCTTCTACTATATATCAGTATTGTATCCTATTCTGTCCAGTTTAGACACTAAGTATCTTATGTAGTGAAACCTCATTTGTTTGAACTAGAACTGTGCTATTAACTAAGATAAAAATGTGTTCGATATGTTGAGATTGAAGAACCCATACAATATCTAGATTTTTATGTTAAGAAGAAGGTTAGAAATTTAGTCTGGTGCTCAAGAAAGATACTGCATTAGAGACATAGACATGGAGTCACCAGCATGTAGATAGTAGCAGAAGCTGGTTACAAGGCAAGGAAAGGCATAGAGTAAAAAGAGAATAAACACAAGGACTAAACATTAACAAATGCTCATTTGCATTTGCTGCAACTAAAGATGCAACTAAAGCTCCAGTGAAGTTGGAGAGGCTTGGGAAGAAGTATCTGTCTGCAAGGCCCGAAGTATTCATTCTTTCATAAATAAGATGATGTCACTGGGCCAATATTTTACCATCCAAAATGGGGCACCTCTGTTGGGCAAATGTTCATGCCATTCCTCCCAGAAGAAATTGACCTCATAGCCAACTCATATGTTGTATGTAACCTTTGATCCCTACACTAATTCTTGGTTATAATCAGAGTGGCTAAGGTAGCTGTATTCACATATTTCTGCCTCTATCTCTATCTCTTACACACACACACACACACACACACACACACACACACGTGCACGCTTAATACTTTCAGAATGAGACATTTTAAGTTGAAGTTTCTTGAGCTCCTCCTTTTTTATAATTTATAAAAGTACAGTTTTCATTTAAAAGGCAAATGGAGAAGCTTAAAAGAAGGGAATTGAGATTCCAATGTCAGACACAAGAGACCAAAAAGAACATCAACCTGGGATCCTTTTAGAAATTCACCAGAACGTGCATAAATAAGTATATAAGAATATTATAGTAAAAGCGTAAGGAAGCATCAAGTTCATGGATAGATGAAAATAGCATCAAAAACTGCAAACACTTTTTGATGGCTAAGGAGTAAAAAGAGAGTTTAGAATTTGGTAATTTCAGAAAAAGTAATTTGTATTCATATAAATTTATACTGTTGGGTCACTGCTGTTCAGCCAGACTTGTGCATTTTTAACCTACATTTTTAAAAATTCTGACTTGGGTTTTATGTAAACTAAAAATGGTTCATAAACGTCCCTTAAAGACAAAAAAATACTATAATCCTTATAGTCGAATGCATTACTAAATGTAAAATTAAAGTTTATTTGTAATATATATTACATACAATTATATATATTATATGTTTGTCATAGTTAAGATTATGTTACTGAATTTCAGTACTCAGAATTTTACCTTGGAGCTTTTGAAGAAATGTAAGTATTATTCTAATGAACAATTTCTTCACTGATTGGTATTCTTATTGTTTATTGATAGGTATGTTTCTGGCTGAGCTGATAGAAAAATATTTTGTGTCCCCGACCCTGTTCCGTGTGATCCGTCTTGCCAGGATTGGCCGAATCCTACGTCTGATCAAAGGAGCGAAGGGGATCCGCACGCTGCTCTTTGCTCTGATGATGTCCCTTCCTGCGTTGTTTAACATCGGCCTCCTGCTCTTCCTGGTCATGTTCATCTATGCCATCTTTGGGATGTCCAACTTTGCCTATGTTAAGAGAGAGGTTGGAATTGATGACATGTTCAACTTTGAGACCTTTGGCAACAGCATGATCTGCCTGTTCCAAATTACCACCTCTGCTGGCTGGGATGGATTGCTGGCACCTATTCTTAATAGTGGGCCTCCCGACTGTGACCCTGATGCAGTTCACCCTGGAAGCTCAGTCAAGGGAGACTGTGGGAACCCATCTGTCGGGATTTTCTTTTTTGTCAGTTACATCATCATATCCTTTCTGGTTGTGGTGAACATGTACATTGCCGTCATCCTGGAAAACTTCAGTGTTGCTACTGAAGAAAGTGCAGAGCCCCTGAGTGAGGATGACTTTGAGATGTTCTACGAGGTTTGGGAGAAGTTTGATCCCGATGCGACCCAGTTCATGGAATTTGAAAAACTATCTCAGTTTGCAGCTGCTCTTGAACCTCCTCTTAATTTGCCACAACCAAACAAACTCCAGCTCATTGCCATGGATTTGCCTATGGTGAGTGGTGACCGAATCCACTGTCTTGACATCTTATTTGCTTTTACGAAGCGGGTTCTGGGAGAGAGTGGAGAGATGGATGCTCTCCGAATACAGATGGAAGAGCGATTCATGGCTTCCAACCCTTCCAAGGTCTCCTATCAGCCAATCACTACGACTTTAAAACGAAAGCAAGAGGAAGTATCTGCTGTTATTATTCAGCGTGCTTACAGGCGCCACCTTTTAAAGCGAACTGTAAAACAAGCTTCCTTTACATATAATAAAAACAAAATCAAAGGTGGGGCTAATCTTCTTGTAAAAGAAGACATGATAATTGACAGAATAAATGAAAACTCTATTACAGAAAAAACTGATCTGACCATGTCCACTGCAGTTTGTCCACCTTCCTATGATCGGGTGACAAAGCCAATTGTGGAAAAACATGAGCAAGAAGGCAAAGATGAAAAAGCCAAAGGGAAATAAACAAAAACACATAAAAATAATTGGGTGACAAATTGTTTACAGCCCATGAAGGTGATGTATTTTTGTCAACAGGACTCCTTTAGGAGGTCAATGCCAAACTGACTGTTTTTACACAAATCTATTTAAGGTCAGTGCCTACAATAAGACAGTGATCCCTTGTCAGCAAACTGACTCTGTGTAAAGAGGAGACGACCTTGACAGGAGGTTACTGTTCTCACTACCAGCTGACACTGCTGAAGACAAGAGACAAAATGGCTATTCAGATTGTAGGGACCAGTTTAAAAGGGTGCAGACTTATAATTTGGGGGTTGTTTAACATGAAACACTTTAGTGTAGTAATTGTATCCACTGTTTGCATTTCAACTGCCACATTTGTCACATTTTTACAAAATCTGTTAGTGGATTCTTCTTTTTTTTAATCCATATGTTTATTATATGTGACTATTTTTGTAAATGGGGTTTCTGTTGGGAAATAGACTAAAGGACCTCATTAACAGGTATGCCACCTGGGTGGTAACCACACAGCCCTCCCATCTACACAAAGACACGGTTTGCATGAGGGCATGCTGCACTTAGAGATCATGCATGAGAAAAAGTCACGAGAAAAACAACGAGTTCTTAAATTCCATCCATATTTCTGGGAGGGATGACTGGGCGATAAGTGGAGGTGCTTTGTTGATCCTGTTTTGTCAAATCCAGCCCCTAGACCAAGTAGATTGCATTTGGGTAGGCCATTAAATCTTAGCCGGTGCAAACTTCATTTAAATGTCTGGAGTCATCAAGATTACGTTTCTGTCTATCATATTAAAAAAACTGAAATAATGAATATTGCCCTCTAACCTCCACCCCCAGAAGACTGAATTGACCAAAATAACCCTTTATAAATTTCTGCTTAATCCTGTACTTTGTTTAGCCATCTTCAGCTCTCAGCAAGGTTGATACTGTATATGTTAATGAAATGCTATTTATTATGTAAATAGTCATTTTGCCCTGTGGTGCACGTTTGAGCAAAAAAATAATGACCTAAGCACAGTATTTATTGCATCAAATATGTACCACAAGCAATGTAGAGTGCAAGCTTTACACAGGTAATATAATGTATTCTGTATCATTATAGATAGTTTGGATGCTCTCAATGCATGTTTATATTACCATGCTGCTGTATCTGGTTTCTCTCATTGCTCAGAATCTCACTTATGAGAAACCATATGTCAGTGGTAAAGTCAAGGAAATCGATCAACAGATCTCATTTCTTTAAGTCATTAAGCAATAGTTTGCAGCACTTTAACAACTTTTTGGTTATTTTTAAATGTTAAGTGGATAACATATGGTGTATAGCCAGACTGTACAGACATGTTTAAAAAAAAAACAAAACACTGCTTAACCTGTTAAAAATGTGTTTAGAATTTTATAAGCAAATATAAATACTGTAAAAAGTCATTTTATTTTATTTTTCAGCATTATGTACATAAATATGAAGAGGAAATTATCTTCAGGTTGATATCACAATCACTTTTCTTACTTTATGTCCATAGTACTTTTTCATGGAAGAAATTTGCTAAATAAGAAATGAAAACAAGACTGGATAGTTGTAGAATTCTGCTTTTTTATTACATTTGCTAATTTTAGATTATTTCATAATTTTAAGGGGCAAAATCGGTTCACGACACATCTAAATTATGCTTTGCAATTGGAAAGGGTATCAAATTTTATTTGCATTTCTGGTAGTGTCTGCATTTTTAGTTTTGATCTTTTCTTCTAACCTCTGTTTATGTTTCCATTTCTTTGGAGTCATGCTGCTCTAGATTGTTCAAAATATAATGTGGGCTTCACAGTTTTTTTTCCACAAGAACAGAGAGTAGTGAACTTACATAGTCAATTACATCAGGACATTTTGTGTTTCTTACAGAAGCAAACCATAGGCTCCTCTTTTTCTTAAAACTACTTAGATAAACTGTATTCGTGAACTGCATGCTGGAAAATGCTACTATTACCCTAAATGATGCTAAACAACATTAAAAATGTGCAAAACTAATAAAGTTTACAGTTTTTATTTTATTGTTTGCCCAGTTACATTTTGTTAACAGTGTATTATAACAAGATAGAGATATTTTTATTTATTTTATAAATTGGGGAAAATGGGGAGATAAACACACACACAGATGCACACGTGCACACACACACACACACACACACACACACACATACACACACATGGACTTACTTACCTGGTTGACAAGAAAACCTGTGGTAGAAATGTCACTAGGAGAAATGACCTCTCAGGGTGGCTATGAGCATCAGGTGTGTTCTCTGTTAGGAGAAAGAACTGGTGCCAGAACATAAGGTGGCGCCTCTAGGAGAAAGAGAAGTGTAGGAACCAGAGCAATGGTGATGACCACTTAAGCTAGGAAAAGAAGTCCTTAAATCATCATTAACAAATTTCAAGTTGCCATGTGTGAGAGAGTACTTTGCTTCTGCAGAACGACTCTCCATGCTTCTCTACTCTGCTGTGTGTCCCAGGACAGTAACTTCTGCATTGCATCAATGGGCTCCCCAACCCTTTATCTCCCAGTTGGTTTGGCCAACTGGGGAAGCACTAGCAGGAAAGCACCAGAGGGAGAACAGTGGACTAGCAATATTTACTCTCCAGTTCCTTCTTTGCTGGGCTGCCCTGAGTTGGCAGTGGCTGCATCCCTTCCCTGAAAGTCTTGCTTCGGGCAGACTGCCCCCTCCTACAACTACAGCTACTTTATCTGGGGTCTGGTAATCACTCCTCCCCTTGCTCTTTTAGGCCTGTTGCTGGACTAGAAGTGCTTCCCTATATGTAGCTTTCATCTAACCTGCTGACACCTTTGTAAATTGCTCCTTCAGGGAAACCTTCTCTATGCCTTATTTCAGCATGCCATCTGTTTCCTGCCTTACTGATACAAAGTTAAATAGCTCTTCAAAGTCAGCAGTAGGCAAAGATTTGCCTTGTATCAGTTTGAGGGCTTAACCTAACTGGCTTTGGCAGATAGGAAAATAGTAACTGAGAAACCACAAAGAAGACCAGTGCAGAATTCACTGAATTCTTGGAAAGGTTAATGGGTGGTTCACATAATAAAATTAACAGTCTAAATAAATTTATCTAAATTTCTGAGGAAAGAGAAGACTTCACTAGTCATCAGATGACGTCAGAAGGGGGAACATGGCCTTGACTATAAAAGGAACAATAATGTATAGTGCTTTTCCCATCCTTATACAATTCACTGACCTCATCTCTGCATAACATCATCATTCTAAAACAACGCGACAATTAATTCTGTTATATTAGTGGCTGAAAAACATTTCCTATTTCTGACCAAAGTAAGTAATAATTACAGGATAAACCCTACAGATTTTTTTGCTACACAACCAAACCAGTACTCACTGGTACCTTTCCAAAGACAAAGAGAAGAACTGGTGAAACATAATCATATGAATCTTCATGTTCATTTTGGTATTATTTTGCATAATATTTGCTGTGCCAAAAAATAATTAATGCTCCAATAATGATGAGGTGATGTCAGTAGGACACAGGAAACAACTAAAAGAGACTTCTTGGCTAATGAGCCAAATCTGGGGCAACGTGAGCATCAAATAAATAATGATAGTAATAGATTATAACTGATTGAATAAAACAAGAATCCATGAGTATATTCTGATATAGATAAATGAAGAAAAAGAAAAATCTCTTTCTTACAATAGAATGTTAACTAACAGACATAGAAGAAATAATAGCGTCAGTCACCATTTGGCCATCATCATAATGAAAATTGATTTTTACAAGAATCATGAATCAATGCTAAAACTCATGGGTGAAAATTTGATGAGAAATAGGAAATCTGTATTGTCTCAAAGTATCTCTTCTCCATTAATTAAGAATTTTAAGAAGAAGAAAACTTATTGTGGAGAAACACAGCAGACATTACCTTCAAAAATATCATCAGTTATGAAACCAACTGATATTACGGGCCTCCTGAAAAAAGTATTCTGAAAAAGTCACATCACTTCTTGGTATCCAGTCAAAATTTCATAAACAGACTATAACCATAAGGAAAACCAAATTAAGAACATTCTCTAAAATAACTGGACTGAACTCTTTAAAAATATCAATGTCACGAAAAACAAAGGCTAAGGAACTGCGTGAGGTTGAAGAGCTATGACAAACACAATGTAGGATTCTGGATTGGATATCAAACTGAAAAAAGAATAGTGATAAAGGAAATTATTGGGAATGCAGAGTACATCTGAATATGGACTGTTGATAATTATAATATTAGTATTGTAATACTGTTAATTTTCCTAATTTTATTAAGGCTATTATTAATACATGAAAATAGAAATGTTCTTGTTTGCAGAAAATATATACTGAAGTATTTAGGGATGGATGAGATGATGTCTGCAGCTCACTCTTGAGTGGGTTTCAAAGGAAAATGAATTACATGTATATATGCAGATACATAGATATTGATGTGTGTGTGTGCGTGTGTGTTTGGAAAGGGGAGGATTTGTTGTTGCTATTATGTTGTTGAAGTGTCAATGTATGTGTGTTCATGCTGTCATCTGTTTCTTATGTCCTGGACTTTATGATTTCTACCCTCAAAATTAGATCTAAGAGTCTCTAATTACTTCATAGTATACTGGATTTTAACTACTATTCTTGCTTCCTAGCAGTCATCTTTCTGAAGAGTCACTTAAATTATTATGTCCCTTGCTCTTCATGATAATTCCTATTTGTTAAAACTAAGAATATGCTAGGAGGGATCTGTGGCACAGCAGTTAAGACCTCAGTATTTGAAGCTAAACAGATTTAATTTGGAACCTTGTGATCTACACTCTGGTGATCCTATCCATATGGTAATAGGTAGCTCTTGGCTGTGTAAGCTGGGGCCCTGACATTCTGGGTGCAAATAATAATTCCAAACACAATTCCACAGAGCAGCACCCACACGAAAAGGTTCCTAGATGTCTGTAGTTAAGCCAGGAAATTAAGAATAATGCTATAAATATTTATAAATCTAAGCATAGTCAATTTGAAGATCTTTATTCCAATATTGTATCTTTTAGATTATTTTCTAAAGATTTACATCATTTAATGTTAAAATGCTCTTTTGAAATGATGGTGAGAATAAATGATAATGGGTTATTTGTTTTAACATTTTATTTGGCTAGATGACAAATTGGCAACCCTGCGTTGGTCCTCCCATTTGTATTTTACTGGTGTGTGAAATCCAAAAGTCTAGGAACCACCGGGATAGACGACTCAACCACACAAGTTTGTATGTTTGTATATATGTACCACAAATCTTAGACATTCAAACTATATTAACTTTTCATGCAAAAAAGAGCAAATATGTCCTGTAATTGCGTATTCTTCATGTGTGCACTGGAATTTTATATTTTTATGTAAGAAAATAAATGTGTTTCTAAATCACTATGAATTTAGTATTATAAAATGTTCATAATAAAAAAAAATTGCTTCAAAATAAGGTGCAGCTAATAGTACTGTTCTTCCTGGCACGTGGGAATGTTCCACTGAGGTTGTCAGGCAACCATCGATCTAACTAACCAGTGTGACAGCAAAGGCACTAGAGGAGAAAAATACTCCAGACAGTCAAGTATGGCAGGAAAAGTTGCATCACCAAGAAATTTTTTAAATCACAGGTGGATAATCTACAATGTCAGCTGGTTACTCAATATTGCTCCAGTCCCTTATCATCCCCTCAGAACACTTCTCTTATTTGTAGATCACTCTGCTGCTCACTTCACCCAGAAACAAGAAGACATTATCACAAACTTCCTCAACTTCTTTGTGAAACAAACCTAAATCTTCTTTTACTTCCTTTCCTTCCCTCCCCTCCCTTCCTTTTCCATTCCCTTTTCTTTCTTTCCATTATCTTCATTTCTCTTCCCTTTGTTTTCCTTCCTTTCCCTCCCCATTCTTCCTCTCCCTTTCCCCCACCCTCAATTCTTTTGTCCCTCCCTCCCTTCCTTCCACCTTTTGTGGGATGGGTTTTCCCCATTCATGTCTACATTCTCTGATAACTTGTTCCATGAGTTATTCCCCTTGTCTGGTATCTTTATTCTCTCCCTCTTGACTGATCTTTTTGTCTGCCTTTGAATTTTCAAAATCAGTTTTTCTAATCTTGAAAAATAACTTTGCTTAACCCTGATGCATCTTTATCCATTGTCCTGTTGTTACTTCATTCTTTTTAAAGATCAGCTTCTAAAACCAGGGCTGTATATTTACTTCTTCACTCTTGGTTAAATTTAAAAGAAAGTCCCAGTGATATTTATGAGCAAATTTGACTGCAAACCATCTTGTTGACATAAGCATTTTGAGTTTTCAAAATGCTATGCTAGCTATCAGTCTTCCCAATAATATTATAAGAAAAGGGCTAGAAAGTACAAAAGGTGGACATAGTAACAAAGAGCATTACCCATATGGAGCAAAGATGTACATACTCATCTGGTTATCATGAATTATATCTCCTCTATTCAGTGTTTACTTACAAGAGCATGATGTTCACAGAGCAATGCAATTATTAACTGCAGCATTTTTGGTTTGTTTGGTTTCTCCTTCAGGAATGTAACCTTTATTTAGGAGGACATGGAGAACAGAAAGTTCTTAAAATAAATTTATAAAAAATTATCTTTTTAAGAATAAATTCTTCATGAAAAATATATTGTTAGAGAAAATTTAATTTTTTCACTAAGCTTTTAATGAACTCACTACCCCTTTGCTAAGTAAACTTGCCACAATGTGTGTATTTTGTTGGAAAGCATTGAGATACAGGTCTTATCTTTTCTCTTCAAGCTGTTTGAAATAAGTTGTGACTCTAACAGATTCAAATACTGAACCAATGCGGAGTCTTAATTCTTCCAGAACACTTTCTCTCTCTTTCACACTCTCAAATCTGAGTACATCTTCTTCTGGTCTACAATTAGACAAATAACAATCTTTATTCAGTCTTCATATTTGGTGGATGTTTAGAATTTGATGGTGATGATCATCACCACCCTCTCCTTTAAATTGC